ACTACAGTTTGAATTGGGATATGCATCATTTATTTTTCGCATGTTATTTTTCGCCGCTACTTTAGCATGATCGACGGCGTTTTCCGCACATAAGCCTATGCATGTCCACCGCGGATCCTCTTTGAGCAAATCACCTTCCATGTTGAGCATACATAGAACTATCTTTTTAATGGCATATTACGGTTATGCCACTGTCTCGTTAGTGCATTTTACAAATGATTTGGTGTTAATGTGTGTCGTAGTCTGTAATTTGTGCTAAACATTCCGTGATAAAGGTTTAGTCTCCTCTCGTACCATCTTTGCTACACCAGCGAAAATGGATTTATTAGAGCTTTACTGGTGAATAATTCCGACTGAACTAAACCACTTCCTAAAAAGCAACTGTTATGTCCCGCCGTTTGAGACTTTTGGAGCACTTGTTAAACAGAAGGAAGGCACTGCGTTTTATAGAAGGCTTATATGGGAATATTGTGGCGTGGCGGATCATTTTCGATATGTGATAACCGTGTTAGGTCGTCTATCCTCTCCATCATAATACCCCTTGTTGCGCTTTTTTATTTACTTTTAAGGTGTCTATTAGGTTTTACCTTAGTACTCAATCTTAAATTATTACTTTAAGGACTGTCTATTCCCTTGTGAAACTTCCACTCTTTATATATTACCTGGGTATGAATAAATATTTTAACTGTAGAAGGATACAAGGCCAATGCCAATGGGATCTGTCGAGCTACGATAGTTCCTTTCATAAATATAGTGCAGGGTAGTAGGATGCGTGGCCAACACCATTCTATATACTCGCAAACAATCGACGCATACTTTACATTTTGCATTAAGGTAAAAAAAACCCTAAAAAATGAAGAGTACGAAACCAGAGCCGATGGATCCCTCAGCGCTGCACGAGAGGTAGGTTGTCATTCATTTGTGGTCGAATTACCCCAGGATAATGTCTGTTCTCTCCTCGCACACCGACCCCGTAACCCAGAAAACCTTTGAAGATGAACTCTCTGATGTAACCCTCTCACAACTGCTCCCTGTGCTCAATCGAATGCAGAAAGAAGGACAAGTAGAAGTTATGGTAAATCCGGACAGGACTCTCTCTTGGAGACTGCGAGAAATCGACAACATGGAGTAGGCCTTCCACTTTTTATCTTAAACAATTAACTGGCAGCAAACTGAAGTCTCTGACAGACATTGAAGAGTGTCTGGTGTACAACTGCATTCGAAAGAACGGCAACGAGGGAGCTGCACTGAAAGTGATTTCTCAAGACACAAAGTTGCCGCAAAACCGGTTGCCGCGCATTCTGAAAGCTCTGGTTGGCAAGAAGTTAATAAAAGAACTACCGGTCTTGTCCGGAAACAAGCAAAAAATATACCTTTTGGCGGAACTTGAACCTAGTCGTGCGTTGGCTGCAAATACCCTGTTTGCTGGCGATACTGGTGTAGATGGAGAATTTGTTGCAATGTTGCGAACAGCCTGCCTGAAGTACATTCAGGACAAGGTGAGTAGAACTTTCTTTTCAGAATTTTTATGATGGGCCATGGCGTTTCGGTGTTTGATGGATCACTAATTTACGGTTGAAATTGAATGTTCGTTGAAAAGCGTGCAAATTGCAGACACACCTTTTATCAGTGTAACTTATAAATTCACTGATTGTATCAATAATTGTCTCTGTGACCTCTAGAGCCCGCTCATCTAGTCTTTTACATGCTGTGAATATTCGAACGCTCGAGCACCAGACGTTTTATGAGAAAATCGAAGACACCCGGGGCACCAGTTTTCAGTATGATCAGACCATATTTACCTCCGCCATAACAGCTGTTGTTATATTCCGAGCCACTTTCGTTAGCTTTTTCCCGCTCCGCCTTTGATCGAACACGATATCCAGCCAAACAGTTTATTATTTCGTACGGCCTCAGTCAAACTTATTCCTTATCCTGCTCAGTGGAAATCAAAGGTTTTACGTCCAGATATACTTTCTGGTTACGACAACGAGGTTCACGTCCACCTATCTATTAACCATTCTTGGATTCTTACCTGTTTACGGTAACTATTTAAGCTATTGTGTGACTGTGCATTCCCTTACAATTTGGAGCCAAACTTTTTCCAGATTTACTTTTCAATCTGGTTTGATGGTTTGTTTGGCTCCTGTATGCTTGCTTAGATGACTGAACATCCTTACTTGCTTCTTTCCCAGTGTGTCATGTTCTTATATGTTTTTTTGATGCGGTCGTCTGGTGCCTTTAGGTTTTCCGACCGATCTTAGGTACTCACACATAAAAAAGTGATATTTCGGCATGTAAAAATCGAAGGCCTACGGCGTATGTGGTTGAAGGTTCGACTACATATATGTAGCAGGGAATTTAGGTGCAAAGTGTGCTTGACACGATTTATCGACAGTATACGATGGTCCCAACGCCCTGCAGCACGTGCCATAATCCGCAAACGCATTTCAGCTGATGGAACCGTCTAAATGCTGAGATTTTTTAGGCCTCAGCCATATTGCTCTCCATGACAGCTTTACTTTGGGTTTACCCTGCTGCCTTGATGTCGTTCTATCGATACGCATGCCCTATTGCTCCAGCGGCAGTAATGCGTCCATTTTTTTACCTGCAGTCAGGAAGTTCGAGTATTTATTTCCGCATAACCCCTTATGAAGCGTTTTTAATGCAGTAATTACTCTGCCGAATTACACACTCTACCTCCTTGCGTGAATGCTTAAAATGTTGGGCACACCTTCAAAAAAGTTTGATAATTATGTTCTGCAGTAAAAGCTAAGGAATTTTTCCTTGCCCTTCACGAAAGCTATAGAATACGATTAAGCGTCCAATCGCTTAATTAACTGACACTCCTTTTGCATCAGTTTTTTTTGGAAATGTAACATGTGAACTAACTCAGATCTTGTTATTATTACAGGCAGATGCAGCATCTCACGTTCTCGATCCCTTAATTAGCAGAAATTCATCCTTCGCCTCCGTGGAAGAGGTTCATCGTTTCATCACAAACGCAAAGCTCTGTACGGTGAGTGGTGCTGTTATCGCCGTGGTCCCTTTAACCATTGACGTCATTTTAAAACACAACTGCTTTAAATAGTAAGTAGAATTTTATTTGTAGACTAATTTAGGAACATGTGCTGACCCCAACCAGCATGTTTGTCACATGTTCCGATTTAGCTACAATATCCAGAGGGTCATAAAGTACTACGATTGATGCTCTGTGTTCACATAATAAGTTATAGGTCATCATTGTCCAGTTGGCTTTCCAATGAAGCAAATTCGATGATGCGTGCGCGAGCAGTCCCAGACAACGGCTCTTTACGAACTTTCCGCAGGGAATGTTTCCGGTGGGCTGGGAACCTCTGTCTCCAAGAGCTGTTTTATCCGTTAATATCAAAATGTTAGGTGCACCTCAAGTTGCGTCCAATCAGCATGTCACCTAAACCATATTTATGGTCTGTGGAGCCTGATCGACTTGTATATAATCTA